GTCGTCGAGGTTGGCCTGAGTATCGACTGTGCAGCTCAGACCCTGCTTGAGAAAGTAAGACATGCGGCTGGCAAGAGCTGGGTTGGACGTATTGTCCTCACCAAGCGAGAGCCAGAAGACGGAGAAGACCGAGGTGATGGCGGGATGGATGGCGACATCGGCAGCGAGTGACGACTTGCCGACGCCGCCGAGCCCGTTGACACCGACGACTGAGACGTTGTTCGCACCAAGAAGGACATTAATGACCGCATCACGAGTGTCAGGGAGCGGGTGGTACTCGGGTGGATTGAGTGGCGGTGGCATGGGTGAGGGGCGGAGGGGTGAACTGGGAACAATGGCCTGGATGCGGTCGGCAAGATCGTCGACCATGTCAACCACGCTGTCGCGAGCCGGCGAGTACGGAGCGAGGCCGCGCTCGAGGAGGGCGTAGAGAGTGCCGACGCGGGCGACTTTGAGCTCGGGCGTGAGTTCATCGTGTTCCCACAGCTCCATGAGTCGACGGTTGTTCGGGATCTGCGGCGGGAAAGCCACCGCCATGTACGCCAGTAGAGGATGGCTGGCATCCCGCGGGCCGTCACGCCATGGCGGCGACGAGACGGTCTCGAGCGAGAGCTCAGCGTCGGCAAAAACTGGAAAGACCTTGCAAGTCGGATCAGCGAGGGCTGCGTCGGCCTCTGCGATGGCCCACCGTGTGACGATCGAGTACTTTGAGACAACGACGACCACAACGTGTGAGTGACGGGCAAGCCGGGCGCAGTCTGCGGGATCTTGGACAATCATGGCGTCGAGCGACTTGACGTCGAGAAAGACGCGCAGACCGAGGGCAACGAGCTTGTCGCGGAGCGAGAGCATGAGCCCCTTGTCGTTGGAGCCGTGGCAGAGGAAGACATCGTATGACTTGGTGGAGGACGGCCCGGCTGGTGACGATGACGTCGCTTCGATATGCATGTTCTGGGGGACTGCGGAGGAAGGGGTGGCCGAGCTGGCCCTGCTGGCGTTGGCGGTGAGCAGCGGGCGAGGGCGCTTGGCGGCTCGCTCGGGCTCGGCCGGTTGCCCTGCGCGGCGTTTGACAGAACCGTGCTGCACGGGTGTGTGTGCAGGGCGCAGGGGGTCCCCTGTGCCCCCTGGAGCGGGGTCCATGGGCACAGTGAGAGGGGTGTGCGGAGTGTGCGGTGAGTGTGACGGCGAGGGCGACAGGTGGTGTTTGGGCGATTTTTTGGATATCGGGCGAGTGCCGGGGGAAGGGCCGGGGGAGAAGGTATGATTATTTCAATGAGAGTTAATTGATGGGGTTAGGCATGATTAATTGAACGAGAAATGATTGATGTGGCGATGGTGGGGTCAGCGGGGGTGGGTGCATGCAGGCAAGGAGGGTGTGTAGTTGGGCAAAAAGAAGAAAGAATGCGTTACTCGGTATTCCCGTGTGGTCCCCCACCACAGTACTAACCAAGCCTCATGCTGCTTGACTTCCGAGAGCGAGACGGGATCGGGTATTTTCAGCATAGGATGAACGCATTCGATGTATGAGCGTGTGCGTGGTAGTCATTTGGTGGAGGGCAAGGGCGAGGGCGGTCGCAAAATGGGTTCCGATCAGGAGATGGCGATCGGGTGATTGAGGTCAAAGATGGCAAGATGTGGCTGCTTCTGGCGTGTTGCGGCTGTGAGTGGGCTCTGATCTGTGAGTGTGATGGAGTTGGGGATGGAGGTGTTGCAAATGCGCGTGTGGCTGCAGTCGGCGCATGGCGGAGCAGGTCGTCGGTGACCAGGTGCATGACCTCGTCCACCTCTACCACACTCGTGTATTCCTTCAACTAAGTCCGGGGGCGTGCGGCATGCAAGACCACTCTGGTATGCTTGACTGTGGACCGGCTCCTGTCCTGGTCGGCTGAGGCACCTGATCGGGCGGGCGCACGCGACCGATAAACAGCTAAACTCATTGCGAAAAACTGCTCCGCCCTGAAACAGCCCACCACCACCACCCAGCGACTACATATATGTAGTCGCTGGGTGGTGGTGGTGGGCTGTTTCACGCCCTGCGTGCTGGCCACCTCTCTTGTCCCCTCCCCATGCCAAGTACAACCTTCTATTCCCGCCTCCTGGCTGCAATGCTCATGCTGGCGCTTGCTCTTGCGCTCGCTCCCCTGGCGGCGGCTTCCTCGGCTTTCTCGGTCATCCCCTGCGATGGTTCGAACCGTTGCACTCCCGAAAGTGGCGCTAGCGTCACGATTTCGACAGGCACCACCACCGCCATCAAGACCGGCGACGTGACGGCCATGGCTTTCTCGCTGGGAGGGTATGGGCCGCCGGTTGTCGGATCCGACTTTGCTCTCTTTAAGATTGCTGCCCAGTCGCACGACTCGTACCAGGCGTGGACGCTCTCGGGCACGCCACAGTCGTTGTGGAACGCCTCGTTCTCGGGAACGGGCATCACGTCCAACGGCGTGGTGGTGAGCGGCAAGGCTGGAGATATGCCGAACACCGTGTACATGATCAAGGGCCAATCCTCGGTTGCTATCATCCGCATCGACCCGGTCAGCGGCGAGCCGGTCGAGATCTACCGCTCGCCGCACAAGGAGCACACGACCTCCTCGTGGCCGTTCCTCATCTCGCACGATGAGCGGGTGCTGTGGATGCAGACAAAGCGTGACGGGGTCTTTGCCGTCACCGCCGTCGATCTCCAGTCCCGAACTGTCGTCGCCGAGTACCTGCTCGAAGATCTCACCGATGCCTGGCCGGAGCTGCAGTTTGAGGCGGACGGCGAAACCCCGTTCCTGGTCGGCGTCGACACTCAGCAGCAAGTCACTCTTGTCGTCTTTGACCTCAAATCCAACTCGACGACAATGACTCGGCTGGACGGCCCCAAACCGTGGACCACTGCGTCGCGAAAGCTGCAGGTGCTTCCGATGGCCAGCCACGCCTCGCGCTTTGTTGTCCTCTTCGGCGACACTGTTGCGGTGTTTGAGGTCGGGACGAGCTCCCCGATTCACGCCTACTCGTGCGCTGGTGGCTCGACCAAGTGCTCTGTCGTCGGCTCGGCTTCGGTCGCTGGCCGCAAAAACAACATCCTGGTCTACACCGAGCGGATGATGGCCGGCGACGCCGACACCTACCAGCGGGCGGTCGTCGCCCGGAGGGTAGACAGCCTCAAGGAGCTGTGGCGGATGAAGGTCCCCGACTCGCAATACGACTTGCCGATCTCGACCTTTGTCACCGTCCCTATGTCCGGCAACGTTGTGGTGAAGTCCGGCAACTGGGACCACGTCAATGCCGCCACTGGCGACGTCGTCTACAGCGTCACCCACTCTGACCTGTGCAAGGGCGACAACCCGTACGGCTACATCGACGAGTACGTTTTGCTGGGCAATCACGTTCTCGTGGGCGCCTGCATCAACTACAAGGGCTACGTTCGCTTCATTACTGACCAGCTCGTCAAGGTCTGAGCTTTTTGCGGAGAAGAGTAAACGAGCCGTAGGAGTCCATGCCCAGCCCGGCGATGACACTGCGGTGCGTGGGCTGCTCGACGTGGTGGCGACGGTCTCGGCTGATATCGCCAGCATGACTAGCGTATAAAGAGCATGTCAAGGACAGTTGCAATACTGGCGAGGGCAGCAGCGTCAGCGCGTGGCTTGCTGCTCTAGCAGGCGCTCGTGATGACGGAAAGACGCGGTGAGTTGTGGCGGTGAGTTGGGCGTCGGTCCACAGGCCGATGTCGTGGTAGACAAGCGCGATGGCGGCCAGCTCCGAGGTTCACGCATCGACGCGGCCATGCCCGCCGAGAAAGTGCAACACGTAGCTAAGGATCCGTAGCACGTGATTGCGATAACAATCAAAGTCGCCAGCGTCGATGACAGAGGTGGCTCCGGGTGTCATCGGACGGCCCTGACAGAAGTGGCGAGCATAGGATGGTACCATGGCGTAGGGGAGCTATGCCGACAGGCTTTGTAGCTCACTGGTTCGACCTGCTGTTGACCTGCGTGCGGTGGCGCCAGACACTGAAGCCCGCCGCGACGATGATCCCGATGACAAACGAGAGACTGGCATCGAGAGCAAGACCGGCAGCGGTGATGGACTTGGGCGGCATTGACGTGGCAGCTGTATGTGGCGGCGGTCTCCCGGTTCCACGCCCCGCTAGTCAGCCGCTCTCCGCCGGCGATCCAATGCGTCCAGTCTGTGGTGTCCGGGACGAGCTCGAGCGGGAAGAGGCGATGGCAGGAGCCGGCGGCGTTGCGGGCGGCAGCATCGGCCGCCGCCGCACGCTCGGCTGCCCAGTACGACTCGGAAGCTGCGCGGTCGACGGCAGCTTTCCTGGCCTGCTGGGCATGTCGCCTGCGCGCGCAGCCT